CACCATCCTAGTTTCTGCCACGTTTATCCATGAAAGTCTGAGAGCACGATCAAAACAATTTCTTTTACAAAAGATTGAATCGAAAATGACGGTATCTTGAGACCAATTTACTGAAGGGTTATGTTGTCTGAGCCACTTGCAACCCAAAATTAGTTCATATTTGCCGAGTTTTGTGAGGAAAAATACCATTGTCTCCCCATGGCCATTCACATCAATATGTACAGATGTAGTATGAGCAATAAGTGCGGCTGGTGTGCCGTCCACAAGGTAAAGTTGACGTGGTTAATGGAGTAAATGAACGGGGAGATTACGTTTTTGCGCGAAGTCGATATCGTAGAAATCATCAGTTGCACCACAATCAAGGAACGCTTGGGTGGAAAAACTTATTTTATTAGACCCTATGGTGCACGGGAGAAGATGATCTGTGTAGGGTGTTGAAAGGGATGAAATTTGTAGTTCTTCGCTTTCAATGATTACAGCGCCTTCCACCTCTACCATAGCAGAATCTGATAATTTATCCGACTGACTACTATGATGTCTTTGATTGTGAAAATGATCAGAGACTAAGCTTTTTCCTCCTCAAGGATAGTCTTATTGTCGGGGGACTTTCTTTTACCTTTATTCCAGCGAGCTTCAGCGCACACTCGTGCACGATGACCTGGATTGTTGCACCAGCTACAAAGTTTATTTTCAAAACAGTATATTCGCTTTGCATTTTTTTCAGCTTCATTCCGAGATACGCGATGTTTGATGGCATCTGCTGCTGTCCAAATAATGGTGGGGCTAGTTTTAGCAGCGCTCAAATCCATCTTGTCTTCTCCAGTGGGAACAGGAAGAGAGTTTGTAGGCGGTGGAAAGGACGAGTGATTAGCGGGTGCTGGTTTATTCTTGGTATAATTTGGATTGGAAGATCGGAGCACGGCATCTATATGTCGAACTTCAGCTAGGTATGAATTGAGGTCTGTAGGCAAGTTTTGACGTAACATGACGCGGTTCTGAATCTAAGATACAATTAGCGGGTGGAGGGAGTCGTAAAAATGATTTATTAGTGCGTCGTCGGATAGACCGCTCTTCTGAGTAACTTCAAACTAATCAGAGATGTGTGAGGAAGTGTCTTTTTGGCCCTGTTTAATAGTAAGAATCTGGCGACGAGCGTTATTACATTCGTCGACATTGCCGAATGTTTGCTCTAGCAAAGCCAAAATAGCATCACTTGAGAGAAACTTAACCGTGCCATCTCTATTGATACCATGTGAAATCGTCGAGAATGCTTTCCCTCTGAGCCGAGACACCAAATATATCATCTTTGATTGCTCGGATTGGTACCAATCTCCATTAGCAAGGAACTTCATGTTTATTTTATGGACAAAAATTGGGAGTTCTTTGCGCAGTTCAGGTGTGTCTGCCGAAAAAAAATCTGGGTCCGGGTGTTCAGCTGATCGGGGATGGCTTAATGGGGCACCTATACTGGTAGCAGCAATTCTTGTTTCTAATTCCTGATATTTTTGTTTAAGAAGTGAGTTTTCCTTGAGTGCTTCAGAGCTGGCAGCAACCTGCTGTTTTATATGTTGGAGTTTTTGTTGTAGCAAATGATTTTGCTGTTCTAATTGGGTACTGGAATTGGTTATTGAATTCTTTGAATCTTGAAAGTTCTGCACTGTGTCTGTCAGCTCCTGGTTCTTCTCAAGTAGTGTGTCGTAATCATTTTTGTATTAATATAATTGTTTTTCGGCAAGTACATAAGAATTGGCTAAGGCCATGATTTCATTGCTTAGTCCTGTAATATTTATTTCTGTATTACCACCTTGCATAGCGGTAATAAAAAGCTGATTGTTGGGGACTGAACAGAGCAGAGGATAATTCTGGACAAAGGTGTTATGAATTTGTTAGGTATAATCTGGGTGTGGTGGCGCAGGGGTACTTTCTTAATTCGGTTAGGTCTGAGGCAACAGGATTTGGATTTGTTCAGGCTGGAAATTTGAATTGGTTCTTCAGTTCTAACAACTCCTTTTCTGTTTATTGAATAATTTGCTAATTGGGAACTCGATATTTTGATAATATGATAATTTGAACATATGAATTCGTAACTTTGATAATTCGAGCCTCGATCACCAAATGTCTCCTCGTAACCAATTCGCACCTTCGTAACCTCGTAACTTCGACCTTCGACATTCGTAACTTTGAAACCTCGAACCTTCGATAATTTGCCTTCGTCGAAATCGACTCGACATCTGCAGCTTAACAGCTTCGAAAATCTGCCAATAAGTAGATTCATAACAAAAGGTAGCATCATGATCTCGAAACTCATTTGAGGAAGCAGGTGTTCCTGACTGATATTGTGATGTGGCGCCTCCTTCAAGATTCTAAGGGTTGTGATCCATTTTCGTTGAAGATTCTGAGTTCAAATTTAAAATTGGTCAAGTTGGGTATAAATTTTCTCATAAGCTAATCTGAGGAGTATTTCTAAAAATAGGAGATTGATATTACGCACTATGGCAGTAATAGTTGTTTATGAACTGGTAGACAATATGTCACGGTAGGGAGTGAGGTGGATGGTGACCGACGATGTCTGATCTGGTGAATTAGATTGTCTACAAAGAGGAAAGAATGTAGTACTATGAAACTAATAATTATTTACGGACGCGTTAGCGTGCATTTACATATGTTCATATATCATGTGACTGCTTTGCCTGAACGCCTTGTTTCCTTGACAATGGGCATGCTGGGACGCACATTTTTCGGGTGTTTTCGACTTAAGGGTGTGTGTGTTTGTGTTTATTGTGCTACTTGAGTCTATGACTATCTAGCACATTGGGCTCCTCTCTGACCCAGGCCACACCTTGTACAGTGCTCCTATCCTCTTTTGTTACTTGAAAGATCATTGATATATTCCCCTTGATGAATAGCCATTCAGCTCAGTATTTACCCGTGGAATTCAGCCACCTTTTCCACGGAACCTTCTACCCAAAAAAAATAAAAATGGTAGCAATGGAAACTGCGTGCGCGGGAAAAAGTCTCAAAAAACCTGCAGCCCCAGCCAGGCGAGGCCTAGACACCGGGACCACATGAGGTGCGCATATTCATCTACATCTCCCTTCTTTGTAACAGTCGAGGCCGACTTGATCCAATCCGCCATCTCCGTATCGGGTGCTGGGTACGCTCCGGAAACTCATCGGGTGGCTTTTCCTCCGTGATCAAGGTTTGGTGATGAGTAGAGCTCCGACCCTACCATCTGATCTGATTGTGGTTGGCTTCATGATAATGGTAATAGGGGAATGTGTTGAGAGATGAAGACAATACAGACGGCGAAAGCGATTGGGAATCCTCTTCGAAGTGAGGACTTTGATACTCAATCTCGGCTCTGCAGACTCTACAGTGAGAGCTGGAGGTTCGTAGGGGACACCGCTGACAGGTGTTGAGAATAGTTCCCCGACTTAAGGGTGTCTGTGGGCGCAGAAGCAACGATTTCGGATGGTGCAACCGTCACTCGTATAACAGGCAACGATGTAAGGTGTTGTGTTCTATATGTGTTAGGATTAGGTCCTGGTCAAGGATGTCTAGCCTAATTGTGCTATGTTGCAGGCTACTGTTACAATTATTCATGGGGTCATCATCAGGGTTGTGGATAGTTTAGGTTTGGTATGGGTTAATAGATTGATACCTGAGCGTGTTGCATAGTAGTCAGACATGCAACTCGAGTTGCAAAATGCACGGTAAACCTCAACCCCAAAATGATGATACGAATCAGGCTTTACATGCTACGTCCTGTATGGCTAGCGTGGTTGGAATATAGGGAATTTACCTGTTGATAGATAAGGACGTAGCCCTCTGATAGTTGGAACAAGTCTTCTACAAATATTATATCGGAATCAATACTAGCCTCTCATTAAGCAATCTCATGAATTATTTCCAATGTCTGTGATAACAGACATACATATACAATGTCGACGAACAATTTTAAAGTCGATAAATATGTTAACATTTCTATCTTGATATCGACCCGTACAAACATACCATATAATAGCGACTCATATTGATACCTAGTATTGCGACGGATAGCAGGGATTGATGGTGTTAATGGCAGTTCGGGGTTTGGTGTTGTTGACAGGGATATGACACGTGTATACATATATGGCGCACTTGATTCATGTTTAATAAGATGATGCATCCTGCTACATTCACAATGCCCATACCTATTCTGGGCTAATCCCCCCTCACTAAATTGGTCCTATCGTCTAATTAATTCCTATCCGCGCTTTTATCTTAAATGACAGGTCATGATGTTCTTCGTCTTGCTGGCCATGATCAAGCTCAGAGTTATGGACAGATTAAATCTTTAACACTATATCCTGGCCGTCATCTCCCCCAACTAAAGTCTAGGTAGCCTGAACGCATACCTCAATCGATAAAGGGAGGACTGTGACACCATATCTTGCGCGGCGGCTATATACAAGATGATAACGGCATGTCAGGGTAGCCAAAGCTTTTATTTGCCTTCCCTTTGGTGGATAATTACGGTTGAGGGAAGGATGAAAATCCCTAGCACGAAGGTCTCGAGTGGTGTCAGCGAATGCACCCACTACATGAGTGGTTCAAATGTCAAATTGAGCTATCGTCGTGTGAAGTTGTTGGGGAAGGGATAGCGTTATCCGTATCATGCTCTATGAGTGCTGGGCTTCTGCCCATCACGACCAAAAATCTATCAATCTACCGTCACATGGATCTGTCAGATGGAATGTAATTTGCTATTAATTTTTCTTAGGCCTTATTATCATCAACACAAAACTCTTCCTTCTCAATGGATGTGTATTGAAATAATTCATTTGGTATTTTGGATAGTATATTAACTGTTCATACAATTATTAGGCTCCGAGTTAAGAAAAATTTTCTAATTAATCTGTTGATGGGTAGAGGTTCTAATTCAACACCGGCAACTAAATTTACCGAGATATAGATTCACGCTTTTTCAAGCTCAGAAGTGGTGGTGTGCCTCATCTTAATCACTTTTCCGTGCGATCGTCTAGATAACCATATTTTTTACAGTACTTTCGGACCTTTCCATCAAGATCATTACTAATAAGTGGCCAAATTATACTCGTTATCCAAGTGATAGCAGTGTCAATCACAAAGTTGTTCCGTCGAGATCCTCCCCACGCACAGCCTCTCATGGCTGTTCCAAGCCAGCCCATAGTAACTAGATATTCTCCCCTTTCTAGTCCTGCTATGGCTTTAGCCGCGACTACGTCAGGCGTTTGTACTGGGTCGGATTCTTCAAGGATAAACGTTATTTCAGGTTTGTTAATATTTTCTCTTTCCAGTCCAGGACTCTGAATAGTGCCCGGGAATACCGTGTGTACCTTGATATCTTCTCCATAGAGTAATAGTTCTTGCGTCAATGTATCGCTCAAGCTCTTGATGGCAGCTTTGCTGGGAGCGTACGGTGCATATCCAGCGACCGGGAAGAACGCCACGACCGAAGACGTAAACACAAGATGCCGTTGCTTACCCCGACTAGTGTTTTTAGCAGATATCCACTTGGGCAGGATGGCCTGAGCCATATCAACACACGACCAGAAGTTGGTGTCCATCTGCTGCTGCATAACCTGTCTTGGCGTCTCTAGGAAAAATGCCGCGTGGGCTGAGCCGGCTAAACACCAAACTATATCAGGTGGATGGCCATGATTCCAACTGCATGCTTCCACTACGATTCGCTCTGATTCGTGAGCTATCGAAACGTCGGCTTCAATAAAATGAAATCTTTGTGCTGTGTGGATGGCGGCGCCCTGGTCAGTTCAGCTAGTTCTCTCTACCGGGTGCATGTGCTTTAAGTAGATAGCATTACCTTGACTTGATCCAGGGCCTTAATGAGCTTCGATCTTTTTCGTGCAACAATAATGATATTAGCTCCTTTTTTCGAAAGCTGCCTCGCAACACTAAGACCCATTCCTTCCGATGCACCCGTTAGAAGGATAGTCTGTTCAATGCGATTAGTCCAGGCCGAGTAATTCATCAGAATGACTACATGCTTTATCACGGACATCCAATCTGTCATGGCCTAAGCATCCTCGAAGCCATAGTAGAGCAAGCGCGAGACTAATAGTGAGTCCAGCTACTGCACAATGCTCGATTCTCGGGAGAACCATTGTGATCATAATTTTTTTCGAAGAACTAGCTCACTTATTCCGTGTATATTTGAGAAAGAGCTTGGAGACAAATTTATAGACAGTAAACTAACTGACAGAGCTAGCAAAAGTCGAAGTCAGCTACCTATTGACGGCCGAAATGAATAATTATGCGAGAAGGACTGTAAAAACGGAAGTTCAATGTAGGGGATTCCAGGTGGCTCTCATTTTGGCGATTTGATTTTCAAGACGATGCTATTGCTTCACCTTACACTGGATTTGTGGTTGAGCATTTGTCAGTAAAATTCACGAGCCATGTCAACACGTGACACGAAAAATTTATAGATACAGTTTATTGCTTTGAATTGACTACTATCGCCGGATATGGTTTGCCATGGGCCCATGCATGCATAAACACGAATATTACTTTATTACTGTAATGGGTACATTAGAGGTTTGCGTTGAAAGGTGATAGAGCCTGAGGATAAATCCTTTGATGCACATCCTGCCATAGTCTCAGACTTACATAGGATGTAAATAAGAAATAAAACATAAAAAAATATGTATGATATGTAGGTCCTCTCTGCCTACAGGCCAAAGATACTTATGCTAGGAGTATTTCCCCCCCAATACCTGCTAAAATGCTCCATTCATACAGCACCACTCCTCATTAGTCATTATTAGATCACACGCGTCAGAGCCCTCTGTCCTTAACCACCTCCCCTCCCCAGCCAACAAAATGATGGCCTATTGCGGGTCTATGGCAGCCGTTAAAAATTGCAAAAATCACTAGGTGCAGGGCTCTCCTAATGCCTTCATCAAGATTAAATCCGTAGACACAATTACTCTCTGTAAAAGGACGAGGGCCACGATCGCTGTATGCAAGCAATGCCACAAGATAATCTATGCTTTTCTATGAAGGATATCTTTTTGAATCATTTAAAGTGTCTTCAGCTATCTAGCCATGGCACGTGACCAGTCCTACCACTCCTGACAAATTTCGAACAACCCTATTTCCCTGGGCAATAATAGGCTCAGCTCCACAGGGCACAGGATTCTAATCCAAGCGTATCTTGGGCTCTTGCTTCGCCGGAGGGAGTTAATTCATTCAATAGCTGGTTGCGTATTACAAAATTCTTCGAAAGGGTACAACGACAAGTCTGATCGGAACGAAGTCACAATTTGACGTAAACAATTTCTTCTTCTTTTTTCGTGAAATCTTTTCCTCATTTAATGACAACTGTATAGCATGAGATTCGTTGGATGGACGACCTCCATGTTTACTGTAATCTTCGAGCGCTGGATGATAAGATGCTTGCTTTCATTTGCTATGTTGGGTCTATGTAGGCGCCAATCCGTCGGCTAGTTTTATATAGACTGGGCCAACCGGTACGTGAGGAGCTCACGTGCTGTGCGAGCGCACGACGTTAGATATTATGAATAAGAACCCCCATTTCCCCTCTGATGCTACATGAAGGAACAAATGGAAACACAAACTGAGGAGGTCTCCAATGAAGAAAACGACCCCTGGATGAGATGAGGAGATGCTGAGGTGAGCTAAAGCTGGGAATGAATAGAAGGGAAAAGTTACAGATGGCGAAGGTGTCAAGGGCTCGGGCACGTGGTGGCCGGGAATTGTGGTTATGAGCTTAGGTTAGTGTCACTATGCATGCTGACCTTGTACGAGTATGTAGATTGATGAGTTCAGGTTGTGGTTGAAGGTGTATCTGAGGTTCACTGTATTTTAATTGTACTATACTAAACGTGTGCCGAGCACTCGCTACTTGTACTCATGTACGGCCGCTAGTCGGCTCCTGACCACATGAGCTTCCTCCTGCAGATATCCCAAACGATACAGGAACTACACAAACAGCGTAAACATCTAATCACGTTATGTACATGCAAGTATCCTACCTGTATAACATGCCCATCACAACACCGGGGCTGAGGAGGAATTTGCGCTTCGGCGCGCCAAAAAGAGGTTCTCTGGACGGTTGGGCTTGACATGATTCAACACATGGGTGAAGTCTGAGGTGGTCCGGTCATTTAGGTGGGGTGAGGTAGATGTACTTCATGGTAGTTAACCTGATCCAGCCCGGCCCCACCCGTGCTTAAGCTCCAGTCGGAGTGCAAGGGTAGTCACTTTGAATTTAAAATCTTTTACGTGACAGGAAGAACCTAACATCTATTTAACGTGACACGGGTAGATGGGCTCTGAAAGCTCATTGCTACCTACATGACTGGCAGTGGAGCCAGAAGCGACAAAAGAAAAGAATGAAAAAAAAATGAATAGTATATGTCTGAGTTACGGTGCCCTGCGCCGCATCCCTATCTTCCACACCCATCTCCTCTCGGGTCAGAAACGATCTCAGCGTGGTCACCTCCCACCCTGTTTATTCTTCAGCAGACTATAACATCTGCTTGTAGTTAAGAATTGAATGAACTTCTGCCATCCCTTCTCCCCTATCATTTCCCTGGCCCCAGGTGGCGCCATTTTCTCATAGATTCTCCAACGTAGCAAAGCAGGTCGGCACTCTGAAAAATGCCAGGGCCTTTTCTCTCGGCCGCAAACGCATTTCAGATCTTCATGTTCGGGGTTGAAACGTCGATGGTAGTTGGCGTAGTCCCGTGGCCTGTTCATGCCGCAATAAAACGATGGTACGCCCATCTTGGTAAAGCTAGCTCCGGTGGTCTTTTGCAACGCATGAATAGGTCCAGATCTTTATATCGTTTCGATCGATACTTCTACCACCATTATTCCACGAGCTCTTGGCTGCGCTGTTTAACCCACCTCCCTAATGCCGCAAATGTTAGATCTTGATCTTCTCCACTGGGCGCAGCTGAGGTTAGTGACCGGTTATTGGGAGCCCCCAAGGCTGATTTGGCCAGCTTATCGGCCTCTTCATTGCCTTGAATCCCCACATGCCCGGGTATCCAGCGTATTTCCACACGCTTATTGTGTCTCAGTAATGAAAACTTGTCCACCACTGAGTGCGAGGAGTTAGATCTTCCCCTTTCGAGCGCGTGGGTGGCCGCTTGGTTGTCCAGAAGAATGCAGATCAGTAAGTCTTCTCCTACCTCCATTGCAGCCTTCAAGGCTTTCATGGCACCTACATCTTCTGCGTCGAATACCTCTGCTCCAGGAAGTGGACCGGAGCCACTTGCAACTAGCTTGCCTCCTTAGTATACTACATACCCCCAGGCTGATTTTCCGGGACCCGATGATGATCCATCAGAGAGAGCGAAGACTGTGTTAGCTGGACGGGAAGCTAACCACCGCTTTATGCTTCCAAACCTAGCTTCATTTTCTCGACTACATGGAATTGATACTGGGGTGCCACGTGGGAAGTATAGCTTTCCGGGGCCTTCGGTTGTCGGAACTCGACGCACACTCATTTTTAGGCGTGTTATATACCGTTCTGGTTGTCTAAACTGTAACGGCTGATAAGCCTAGGGACTCCTGTAGCCTACGCTGGCTAGCGCAGGCAATGAATGCAGGGGAATCTTCGAGAAGGATCTCGGAATACAAGGAGCTTAGAAGATTCTCAATGAACTTTCTGGAAGCATACTGAAGGTTCATGAGGACAACAGGTGTATCAAAAATCTTCTAGGGTATTGTCGAGGATTCCATGTTATTCTAGATATAGGGAGAACCTTACAGAAGAGGAGTATCTCAGAGTGTATATATATTTGTATTCTAGCTATAGGAATTATCTCTCTAGAGAATTATAATTAATATACTGTACCTACAAGATCGCCCAAGCATGTTGTACTGAAACCGTGACATAAACAAACAATTTCTTTGTCCCGATCTAAGACCTAAGCGTCTTATTGTCTCTTTTGGATCCTCGGCCGCCCGAATGGCTAGAGGGTGCCTGTCAGACTAGTATCAGAGCCCGGTGGAATTCGTATTCCTGAATTAATGTTTCGTGATTCATGCAAATTCCGTTCTTCTAACATGATTGTAACATTATTGTCAGAATAATATGCCAATCTGGTACCTGACATAATTTGTGATTGCCTCAGGAAAACCTTGGCGTTTTGGGTAATTTTCAGCTAGAAAATACTTGGCGTCCGTGTAACAGACGTGGTGGACTGGTATTGAGTCGGTTTAGGATTACTTCTTGGCTACAACATGTTTGGATTGTATCCTGTGATGTAAGGAAGCTATTTCTAGATATTATCATCTTATGTCAGGTAGTAGATATGTGTAGATATATGTCTGGATTGCCTTCTGCATAATCTTTATATGTGGAGATAACCGAGGACTAGTGTTCTATGATTCTAGTCTGGCCCTTTGGCCGAGTGGTTATGCACCTATCACGCGCACAACGCGGGATGGTGCCCTTTAGCTAGAGCACCACTTCCTTGACCTATGCCTCTGCCCTGCTGCCTACATTCTGTACTGACAATATTTAATTGAAAGGAAGAGGAAGGAAGACAGATAGACAGATACATCTTTTTATTTACTTCAATTGAAAGCTCCTGTGCGAACTATTCTTCCAGATACCTCTAGACTCAATTGTTACAGCTTCCGAACCAGCTCAAAAGGTTCGACAGTGCCAAGCATCCATTCTTCGCATACGAGCTGCAGACTGCAGCATCTTCTGCTGAAGAATTATCGATGCCGGGGGTATTCCCGCTTCACGATGAAGAGCGCCATTGGGAGTGGTACGCCACGCTGGGAGTGCTACTCTGATAGCTTTCATTATCGTTTTTCCAGTAGAGATATATGCCAGCCTACTCCAGTGCCGACTTATTTATCTTGCAGTGTGATTATTCGAGTGAGACCTGGCCACCACGCTTCTGCCCCGTATAGAGCTGTGCTCAGAACGCATGCATATACCGCACAAATCAGAGGTCCGGGTACTGCTCTGCGTTGAGCTCTGTTTATTTATTGTAAGAAGTGGACTAGACAATTAGCTTTTCCAGTCCATTCCTGAACATGCTACCTGAAGTTCAGCTTAGTATCAAGCCAGACTCTTAGCCACCGGATATGAGGTGACAGTTCGATCCGGCAATCTTTCACC